CCGCAGCAGCAGGAGGGGAACCTTGGCTTCCTCCATCACTGGAGCAAGCAAGCCTCCTGTTCGCTTCAGCTGCCTGGCTGCTGGCCACCATCTTGGTTGGCAGTTAATTTGCATATCTCGCTGATTAGCCAATGGGAAGGGTAGCGAAGTTACAGTTAATTACCATGTTTCTCTATTATTAGATAGGATACCACTGTACTGATATTCAGAGATATTCACATTTCACACAATTTAGGACATTCTGATTACTTTTTTCCACTCAAATATATTTCCTAACAACATTTACCAATCTACTACCCAAGACACTTGTTCCACACATAATAGGAGTTGTGACAGCATTGTAAAATACTCAAATAATTTTATTTTTTTAAGAGTCTTTGTTAGATAATATACACTGTGAATGTCCAAGAGGGGGTAAAATATACAAGGTAGCACATTTAAACTTTATTTTCCATTTCTAATCCATTCATATCCCATAATATATAGCCTGAGAAATGCTGCTGTAAGCTTGAGGAAAAACTGGTAACTTCCAGGCATCCCTTATTCTTCACACTACTTACTTACATTTACCCTCAGGCGTATTCTTCAAACTGCACTTACCTGTGACAATTATGTGATCTAAATAGTTCACAATCTACTTGTTTTAGTGTTTTTGGTTGTCTCTCTTTTTGTTACCATCAACATTGTGCTTTATAAACTCATGAAAGATAAAAACTGTATTTGCAGTCTACTTTAAAACTCTAGAAGAATTAGGCACTCTTAGATCCAGTTTAAAAAAAGAAAAAACTTTCAGTAATTCCTAATTAGTGAATTCAAATTACAACCAACTGTACAGTCATTCTTTATCTCCCTCCCTTCAGAATCAAGACAGTATCCATCAGAGCTATTTAGAACATGGCAACCATTATGGCCATAAATTCACAAAAACTTTAGCTTTTCTCTAGAACTTTGATTCCTTTCAAAAAGCAACACTTTTGTCATGCAGGGAAGCACTATATTAATGAAAATCCCAGGGAGACCTAAAGTGATGGCACAGATAGCACAAGAAGCTCAATGAAAAATTTAAGAACTATCAAATTTCCATAGAAAGTGAAATACTTAACCAACAATGTATTATCTTTTCCCAGTAACGTTTATACTGATCCACCAGCAGTACAACTGACTTTCGGAGAACACTTTTAAAAATATTTTCTATATGAGATATGCTCTACTGGTAAAGGTGGAAGGATTTCTAGTGAAACGAATACAAATAAATGGTGAATGATTTGGTCACACCATCATTAGGTAGCTGCTTCTAACCTCTATGGTGGCCAATTGCTTATAGAGAAGTATTTCCAATGTCCAAACTGAAATTGAAACCCTCACCCTTTCCTGATAGCAAACCTCAAAACTTTAACCTCCTCCCCAGAAAAGTTAAATGATGTGTGATTAATTACCTATGTCTTAGCATAATAACTACTTTGTGCCCTGAAACCCAACATCTGTATCTTTCCAGTTCACAGCTGATAAATAGGTCTTTCACTTAAATTTTTAAATTTTCTTTTGAGGTGCTGATATAAATTCCAACATTTCTCAATGCTCTAACATTTAACAACCCCCTCCCCGCAAATGAAACATTGTGTCTTAGAGAAAAACCACAACCTACCTTTAAACTAGACTCATAGTCTGTGTTCACTTTGAACATAAGCCCAAGTCGTAAATGAATTTCCTTGGCTCGACAAAAGCTGGGATCAACATAAAGCACCTCCTGAAATGCTTTAATTGCCCTGAAAGAATACAGACATAAGACAGCTTAACTTTTTAACATTTGCATGAATTTTTGCTTGGTAGCACAGTAAAACTTACGATTTACACAATATTGTTAAAAGGAAATGCAGTTTTATAAAAATGATGTGACTGAAGAGTTTTTTTTAAAAAAAGACTGCAAAGGGGCATCTGGGTCTTTCATATAATTGAATGTACAGAATCTAATCTTATATAATAAAAAGGCAATATGCAAATCGATGAAATGGAGGAACAACTAGTTGCTATGATGCACACTGACCACCAGGGTGCAGATGCTCAACGCAGGAGCTGCCCCCTGGTGGTCAGTGCATTCCCACAGGGGGTGGGCCACTCAGCCACAAACCGGGCTGACCGCTGGCGAGTGCAGCAGCGGTGGCAGGAGCCTCTCCTGCCTCTGCAGCAGCACTAAAGATGTCTGAAGCCGTCAGTCGGACATCCCCCAAGGGCTCCTGGACTGCTAAAGGGTGCAGGCTGGGCTGAGGAACCACCACCGCCCGACATGCCGAGTGCATGAATGTTGTGCACCAGGCCTCCAGTTTAATACAAAAGATGAAAAGGAAGATCAGTTAAATTTATTCTCAATTATTCAAATAATATTTTATATTAAAACTAGAGACCTGGTGCACAAATTTGTGCATGGGTGGGGTACCCTGGCCTGATTGGTGATCGCCCAATAGGGGCTGTGGGAGGTTGGCCCTCTAGGGGAGGGGCTGTGGGAGGTTGGCCAGCTCCAGTTTTTCCAAGTAGTCTATTCCTTCAGTTGTGCACTCCTATTTTTTTTAAACATATTTTATTGATTTTTCACAGAGAGGAAGGGAGAGGGATAGACAGCCAGGAACATCAATGAGAGAGAAACATTGATCAGCTGCCTCCTGCACACCCCCCACTGGGGACATGCCCGCAACCAAGGTACATGCCCTTGACCGCAATCGAACCCGGGACCCTTGAGTCTGCAGGCCGACGCTCTATCCACTGAGCCAAACCGGTTCTGGCCATTCCTATTTTTAATGTTCTAAACAATACAGTAAAATGTTTAAGTTTAATAGGTGTTTGCTGATGCCATCACTTTCATAGTTGGCTGATTAAATTGTGTGCGTGTGTTGGGAGGGAAGGGACACTCCAGTCTCTTTACTAAACCAGATCCCCTCATCTAGCAAAATATATCTAAGTTCACTTTCATTATATTTTCTAAACTTTTACTAATGTTTTATCTCCTGTGCGCTTCTTCATTTTTTCCCACCTGAGGGGAACAAAGGAATAAAAAAGGGGAGAAAATGTGTGTGTGTGTGTGTGTGTGTTGTGTGTGTGTGTGTGTGTGTTGGGGGGTATGTGAAGAAAATAGATAACACTCAGACTACATTTTAAATTTGGTCATCATTTTACCACATTCGTGTCACCAAACTGCATACAGCCAGAACATAATCTCTATAGCAGAAGCTAAACGAAAACACCAAAGCATACAAATTCTGATTGACAGAGAATTTTAGAACATGAGAAATAGCTAAGGAAAACTATAAAATACTTTTGATACAATGTGTGGAAAGATTTGTAGTTTTCAAATATTAGAGCATATTCTCTACTGATACAAAAAAGTTCATATTGCTGTGCATGAGTATCATTGGCATTTTTTCTTAAAATTTAAAAAGATGTTTTTTTATATCACCACAATTATTTCTATAGATTTTCAGCTTAAATTTTTCTGCATTTAATGTGTGCCATTGCTAACAATTTAAAAGAATAAGTAATAGAAAGCTAAAACCTCAATAGCACTACCTATGAAAAACATGCATGTGCTAAATATATTTTAAAACAATGGTCACTTTTAATAAGACTTCAAGAAAGTGATTTAAAAAGCCTCCTTTAAAACTATATCAGAAATGATATTAACTAAATGGCCTTAGCACAGTTTCAGTACATTTGGGAAGAGACAATAAAACTCAGTTCTTTGAGGCTAATAAAGCTGCTGAGTCCAGAGAGTTCCCTCAGGAATATCTAAAAGGGCTAGTATTCTAGCTCTGAATCAGTAATAACATTTTATAAATATATAACAGATATATAGCTCCACACATATATATTAGGAAATTTAGAGGTTCCTTTTAAATGACACAAATAGATTTGATGAAGTAATCAAAGAGACAGGTAAGATTTTTAAAGGTGGACATGGAAAGAAAAGGCAGACCAAACAGAGTAGATGGCACGAACAAGGTTACATAGGTTAAAAAATGCTCAAGATGTTTTCAGGGAAATGATAATACAGTGTGACTGACATAAAGAACGTATTTAGCTAAGGGAGCAGTGAGGCTAAAAGGATCATTTGAGGTTGAACCAGAGAGGACCTTAAATGTGAGGCTAAATTAGAAGTATCATACACTGGGTTATTCACATTGGCATTTGCTAATGTATTACTACCTCCTGGCTCTTTTGCGCTCTCTAGCCAATCTTTGTATAATCACTCCAGACACTGGGATTCTTTATTCCCTCCTATTGAGTGTGTGCTGGGGAGAGGAAGAGGAGGGAGTAGTCAGTCTTGTCTAAAAGTCTGAAAAGGTAAAAGTACTGGCCATCACAGATAGTTTATCCATAAATCTTTCTATCACAGTACAAGTCATTCCCCAGTTCAAATAACCTGGGGATCACTGATCCATAATGAAGACCTGAGAAATTCCAATAGCTTTCTAATCTAAGCCTTCTTTAATTATAATCTCATGCTGGATTCTTTCAGGGACACATACAACTATTATATGTGAAGTGGTTCAATATCTCTGAAGGAATATCTGATCATTTTAAGAGATTATTGTAAAATGTAGGCATAGGGACATTAAAATATGCTGTATTTATTACACACACAATATGGGGCGGGGCAAAAGTAGATTTAGAGTTGTTCATATGAAAAATAATATAATAATAAGTAATAATGCAAGAATAAATTCCATTTCACATACAACTATAAACCTACTTTTTACCCACACTGTATATCAAACAAAACACACCAAGAACAAAAACAAGTCATTCACTGGAAATAACTGGACTTAGTAGTTTTATGTCAACTTACCACTGAAATGCATTGTAATGGAAGTAGACCAAACCAAGACCATATAAAAAGGCAGCATTCTATAAAGAAAGGGGAAAAGAGTTTTAGGAAAAGCACTTATGTTTAATGCATATGTCATTATTAATATAAAATATGGTACCCAAGATGATTTAAGTTATGAAAACTCTATCCTACATTACAATATATTTGAGAAACATTTTTAAAGCACTGAAATAACAGTGATCAGATGAGTCAGCAAAGGGACGGAATCCAATCAATTTGATGAGATTCTCTGATTTCTTTTTAATCAAACCTGCCCTGAAATAAAAAAAATTTTGTCAGCAGAATTCTATGGGCAAAACTACAATAAAAACCTATTATTCAGGAATAAGAAAATGCTTGGAATACGCTATCCTATTATCTCTTGCTTGCATCTGTATTTTTTCTCTAGTTCAGTGGTTCTCAACCTTCCTAATGCCGCGATTCTTTAATACAGTTCCTCATGTTGTGGTGACACCCAACCATAAAATTATTTTTGTTACTACTTCATAACTGTAATTTTGCTACTGTTATGAATTGTAATGTAAATATCTGATATGCAGGATGTATTTTCATTGTTACAAATTGAACATAATTAAAGCATAGTGATTAATCACAAAAACAATATGTAATTATATATGTGTTTTCCGATGGTCTTAGGCGACCACTGTGAAAGGGTCATTCGACCCCCAAAGGGGTCGAGACCCACAGGTTGAGAACCACTGCTCTAGTTCTTTCTGTTTCTTGAACTGGATTTACTTTTATGTTTGGTGTTGCCAAGAACACAGTTCAAACTGAAAGTAAACGTACAATATAAACCTAGAACAAATTTTAGTATTAAAAATAAATCGCATGCTAAAATGACACCTAGCCATTTATATTTGGGGTTTTAAACATCAGTGATGCCTATTTTCAGTAAAAAACAGAGACACTTATCCAGACTCATTTTGACCTCTGGCCTCCAAACAGAAACTAGCTATCTATTCCCTTTTTTAGTATCTACCTTGTGTTTTATCAATAAAAAAGCGTATTTGTTTTAGTAAATCTTCCCTATTAAAAAAAAAAAAGCAAACCTTTCACACTCATCTTTGTGAACAAACTTCTCCAAACCTATATTCTAAAACCTGAAAATTTTAAACTCTTAGTAAATTGTGTCTTGCCAAACTGTCTTGGGTTGCATTTCTCCAGAAGCGTCGCCTAAGACAGTGATGGCGAACCATTTGAGCTCGGCATGTCAGCATTTTGAAAACCCTAACTTAACTCTGGTGCCGTGTCACATCTAGAAATTTTTTGATATTTGCAACCATAGTAAAACAAAGACTTATATTTTTGATATTTATTTTATATATTTAAATGCCATTTAACAAAGAAAAATCAACCAAAAAAATGAGTTCGCGTGCCACCTCTGAAACGCGTTGTCATAGGTTTGCCATCACTGGCCTAAAACAAAAGGTTTTAGTGCAAGATTTATTTGTAGTTACCCTAGGAAGCACCAGTAAAGAAGTGGAGAACTGAAGTAGGAAAGGGAAGGAAATCAAGAAAGGGCGCAGTATGGCTGGTCATGCAGCTGAGAGCAACTGGCATTTGATCCTGTTGTGAATCTCTAGGAGACAGTGTGGAACATTCCTCAGTCATCTTGTCCTGGGTGTGAGGGAACTAGAGTATGGATCCCAACGGCTGCCAGTTATTGCTTGGAAAAAAAGAATGTGATGTCTACACCCCCAAGTGTAAACAGTTGGGTGAGTTTTTGGTATGCAACTTTTTTTTAATACTACAATTTGTTCTGGGGTTAAATTGTGCACTTCCTTTGAATTCTAAGTACCTTTTTGGAAAACTGAAAAATGTTTAATTACATCTTAAAATGTACTATGCATGAAAATTTGATTTCATTCATTACTCATTAACCCCAACTTTCCAAGTGAGAAAATTACATGCTACAGGAGTATTCACAAATGCTGGTATTTGCAAAGTTTCAGACATCTATTTCAAAAGTTCAGGTTTTAAAAAATTTTCAATTTAGTTGGAAATGGTTTTAATCAGGATCACTTATTTACTACCCCATGCCCTGAAATAAACTGAGTATTTACTAGGTGTCAGGGACAATACTAAAAGGTTGAACAGGCCAAACTGATCAAAATATACTTCTCTGGCTCTCAGGAAGTATGCACCTAGTGTGTGTAGAGCGTGGGGGTGGAGAGAACAGGTATATTCAGAATGCAGGATTAGTTAACTGGAGAAGTAGTTAAGTCATCACATGTTCTCCCCAAGAAGTCTAATTTGAAAAACAACTATCTTCTTAAGTGGAGGTGATGGAGAGGAAGGGAGCATATGAATAAAAATAGATAACATTTTTCACCAATTTAGGTAATTGCCCAGAGAAGGTGGTGTGGGGTATGGTGGAAATATGAGTTTATTGAGGGGCATTTCTGCTTTCAGGACACACCCTAAATTCTCCGAATTGCCTCACTTGCTTGACAGTTCATCCTTTCCCTTCTAGGAAATCTTAACTTCATCCATATCACTGTATAAATTCTATCAGTTACTCAAGATCCATTTTAAATGCCATCTTTCTCATGAAGCTCTGCTACTTCAACACCTCACTAGAGGTAACTCTTCCAACCTTTGTTTGGCCTTAGCATAATGTCTCTATCATATAACATAGAGGCCTGGTGCATGAAATTCGTACACAGGTAGGGTCCCTAGGCCTGGCTGGCGATCAGGTCTGATCGGGGCCTTCTGGCTGCTGGCTGGAGCCTCCCTTCTCTGGCTGCTGGTCGGGGCCTTCCACTGCTCCACGCCGCCGCCTCCCCCCCCTCCCCCAGTGGTCAGCACACATCAAAGCAAACAACTGAACTCCTGGTCGAACTCCCAAGGGGACACTTAGTATGCATATAAAATCTTAATGTCTTTCCGTCCTCCCCCAACCCCCTTCCTCTGAGATTGATCAGTCCATTCCATGTTTCCATGCATGTGTGTTGAGTGTCTGTCCCATGATGGTCATTGTGCGTCATAGCTGCCAGCCAGTCAGCCAGTCCACCAGTCACTTAGGCTTTTATAGATATAGAAGATTATTATATGACTAGTGGCCCGGTGCACGAAATTCATGCATGGAGGGCGGGTTCTCTCACCCTAGCCTGCACCCTCTCCAATCGGGGACCCCTTAGGGGTTGTCCAACTGCTGGTTTAGGCCCGATCCCTGTGGGATATCCCT